GATGTCTAAACTTCAGGTGATAATCCAAATGTTCTTACTCTATTTCGTCCCGTGACCTTGGCATCTCAACTTATTTCCTCTAAACATAAACTTGATCATTTTTTCCAACAAACATTCATTCAGTCCAAAACTCACACCCACACAGGCAGAGAGAGAGAGAGAGAGAGAGAGAGAGAGAGAGCAGTAGTAGTAGTGCCCCAGAACATGTGATGAAGACAGTCAGAGGAAGGAAGGAAGGAAGGAGGGGGAGGGAGGGGTGTGCAGGGAACGGCTCGGGCGAGAAAGAAATACCCTACAAAATTGCGCTGTCTCTCCTTCAAGTGACCCCATTTTCTATGATGTATGAAGTGCTGGCTTGCACCTCCTCGCTAACTCCCTGCTATACACGCCCATTACTACAATATGGCCGCGCTAAAAGGCTACTTCTTTATTTGCATTTTGTAGAAGCAAGTCGCACTTTACCTCTTATTCCACCACTGCGGGAACGACTGCCATATATGTGAGGAGGCGATAAGGTCGACGGGAGAAGGTAGGAGGATGGGCTTCCCGACCGTAGGACAAGACGGGAGATAACATTTTCCTCTAACGATACAGTGTATTATCCCCGGTAACGTAAATGGGAATTTTGTAAGCAAGAATGGATTGTTGTGATAGCAGGAGTTCCGGGAGAGAAACTCGCCCCCACTAGGGTGTCTTAAGGGCGAGAATTAGGAGTATAAACCAAGGGGTGATGTGTCTTGGGGAGGAGCCTGGCCCAGCACTGTGATGGCGCGGGTGTACATATTACCAGGGCCAACACGGGATGGCCCCCCGACGCTACGCTTGTGATTTGCCGCCCCGCTCTCTTCCTCCCTCTGATCTATTTTAATACAACTCATTTTATATGTGCACTTCACACTCCCTTTAGTTTTCTTCCAGTCATTTCATACACAACCTCACACTTTCTTACCCCGAGGTGTCGTCTGCTCTCACGAGAACTCTCTTATGTGTACCATTATTTCAGCAACATTTACAAGATTGTTATTAACTAGATTACCACACCAAGCCCTGATGACTACAGCTGTATTCCTCTGATGGTCTTCCTTATACACACTACCAAGTTCTAAGTAAAAAAAAAACGAAAAAGAACTATATTAGCGTTAACTTATACAATATATTTTCACTATAAGGACAGACTCAAGGAAAACTTACACTTGATGAAAAAAAAGGCAGAGTTAAAATGCGAGTGTAATAGCCTTCACATGTGACCACTGAATGTGATAGTTTAAGGGAGAGGTGGGAGCATCGAGCGCCTGGCAGCGGGCTTCTTGCCGCCCCTCGGGGATGGTGTGTAACTTAATTTGTGCCTTGATGGATGGACTTTAACGCCGCCAAGTCAAGATTTCGCTCACTCGTGAAGTTTTAACTTATCGATTTACGGAGCTTTTAATGACCATTATATTCGAATTATTATAGATTTAATTCATTAGTGCCTTCTCGTTCAGTAAGTGAGTAAAGCATACGATGTCTTAGTGTATTTACTGTTGAAGTGTTTATTTTGATTATGACATATCAATTACGATGAACAGCACCCGGAACAGTACTTACAAAATTGTGCATTAGACAAGGCCCATCCACCCGTCTATCGGTGAGTTCAGCCATACGAGAAGAATATCTTGTGATATTCATTATAACCAGATAAAATGACACCGTAACTTATAGATATGGAGGGAAAAAACTCACTCTCGCTCTCTTGACGATGATTGGATGATTTGTGACCGGCCAACCAATCAGGCAGCGTATCCGCCTCTCCATTTACCAAATCGGCTTAATCGATGGTGTAATTCAATAAGCACACATTTTCCCCCATTCCGGCCATTTTCTATTGCGTTATTCCCGTATCTTTATATCTATTTCCCAGTGAAAATGTATTTCCCAGTGAGTTTCGTCGCGGTGGGGGTAAAATAAACATATTTGAGGTATAGTTAGCTTCTTAACCCACCCTTAATGTCGCGAAAAAATTGTTAGTGATGATTTCGCATTAATATATGTAATTAATCTCTCTGTATTTATAATTCAATGATTAGATTGAGCGTAGATTAAGCGGATTGAGAGCAGGACTTGGAGGAGCGCCTGAACGAAAGCCACTACTCGCCTGATGAAATTGTGCGCTAACACGGCGTGGCAAATGTTGACTGATAGCTGAGCCAGCCAGCCAAGTTGTGCGGCGGCTTTATCTTGAGCCACCCTAATTATCTGCCCTCTCTGGGGGGTTACCAAATTAGTTGATGATATGTGGATGATTCAGCGTGGTTCTTACCTAATTAGAGCTTGTTAGGCCCTGTGATTTACGTCAGTACTTGAGAACGTTGTTGGTGTCCGTCCTCAGTAAACGTGTTATTGTAATGGGGGGGGAGGCTGTACTCCCCCCTACCCCCTCTCCCTCACCCCTCCCCTCCCTCACCCCCACTACCTCTCATCCTCTCCTTAGCTCATTAGTCATTAATTATTGACTAATTGATCGTCTTATAAGTCTTAAACCAATCTTACAGATCTTTCTCTCTATCATTATTTCGTTTGAGGTTTTAAGTAACAGGACACATTTTAAACATGCCATATCTTCAATTGATTCTGTTCCCTCTTCCTCCATTATGTTGAGGGTAACTTCCTCAGCCTCCTCCCTGAGTCAAAGTGGAGGAGTAACATTATAATCTGACTGTAAGTATCTGGCCGAAACTCAGCCAACGCCTCGGCCTGGACTGCGGCAGACAAAACGAACCAAACCAAACTAACTTAACGAAGATATTATTAGGTTAGGTCTGGGTGGTTCGTTCTGTATTTCATTAAAGTTTTTTTTAGCTGCAACTTGACCCCAGAAATAAGTCCTGCCGACAACTCATATTGCATCATAGTAACTTGGACAAGACTTGAGGCTGGGACCATAAACTTTAATTTTCCAGGTCAGGATGTGCAAAGATTTTATCGATTAATAATAATAATAATAATAATAATAATTCAATAGTAATAATAATAATAAACGGTTTACAAATAGCAATTGTTTCCAATACAATATATAATGACAAGGGAAGAGGGTCATTTAACGAAGAAATTCAGCTGGATGCGGTAGTAGTATCGAACAGCAATTTACGGACGAGGGCTCTCAGGTGGTAGCAGGAGACGTTGATGAGGATGGTATAGTAGCATCTCCCCAAACTCGCGGATGAGGTCATGGTGATGATCAGAGAGAGTTGAGTGTGTACTCAGTGTCTCTGACTGATCATAAGAGAACGTATCTGAGCTCAGGTAATCCTATATACTCTGTATGTGTTATGGTTGTGTGCTTGTGTTGTAGTTGTATTGTGATTGTTGGGCATAGTTGTAGTGTGGTTGTTGGTGGTGTTGTAGTTTGATAGTTGAATTGGTTGTAGTGTGGGATGTTTCTTGGTAGTGTTGTCAGTGGTTTTTGAATCTTAGTACTGTTGTCACTTCCACGGGTTGAGCTGGTAGACTTATGTTGTATTCGTTCTGCATGACATCTGGGCGAGTAGGTTATTGTTGTGTTGTAGTGTTGGCTTTGTTGTAGTGTGGGTGTGGTAGTTGTTGTAGTGTATTTTTTTACGTATTTGTAGTGTGTGGTTATTGCAGTTTGGTTGTTTATGTAGTTTTGGTATGGTTGTTGATGTGGTTAAACGTTTTTTCTGGCGTCCAGTTTTTGTGTGTGTGTGTGTGTGTGTGTGGATAAAAGTAGGTCCAAATATACAAAAGATCTGGTACGAGTGTAATTTATTTAAGTTACGCCTTAGGGAACCAAAGAAAACGGACCTTCAACAGTCGTTAGGGATACTTATCTAATTTAGTCTTAATTCGGACCGCAACACGATGACCTAATTATTCTAAAAGCCATCATGTATCTTTCCTGACAATATAATCTCAGTTGTAAGAATATTGTAGTGTTATGGGTTCTGTTTTTTGTGATATTTTCGGTGAAATATGTGCATCTGTTTTATTTTATTTTGTATTTCAGAACAAACACTTTACTTCATTCTCTTTGTCTCTGGTCATTTCTCTGTTAGGCTCTGTTGGTAGGTAGTGGGCATGTTGCAGGTACTGGGTAATAATACTGAAGTGTACAGCAGGTTAACATGTAAAGTTCCACTCAAAACTCTTTTAGTGTACAGGTATTCCCGTAGATTACTTGTGCACTTGGTTTACACTAGTTGCCTCTGAAGATGTCTTGAATAGAGACGAAAGCTAAGGTGTTCCATTGTTTCCCTTTTCCCTGTGTGATTTTATCAAGCATTATTGTAATCTGGGAAATAAGGTTTTTTGAATTAAAAGTTTTATTGATTTGAAAATTATTCTATTATTCTTAGATAGAAATAAATGTAATGTTAATAAGTTGAAGACTTTTTTATCATATAATTCAGTGTAACAGAAATAGTGGCAGCCTTCAGCTGCCAAATTTATAATAGATGCGAGGAAAGAGTGATTTAATTACTTTTACTTTTATCGTCTTTTCCACTGATCGACTCGTTAGGAAGCTTAAAAGCACCTCAAAGGACAATTCTCAGTTTATATCTAGAGCTAGTTTGGTATTTTTCCTGCTCATATCCCAAATATAATCTGTCATATTATGGAATAAATTATGTTTGTGTTTACCTTTACTCTAAATGTTCTCTTGTTCTAATTGGGTTTTGTTTTGTTCTGTTGCAGATGTATATGGATTTATGAGTTGAATAAAGCCTTGATTACTGAAGGTGTTTGATATCATACGACATAATCCTTACAAATTTTGTTGTAAGGCCCCCTGAAAACCCTATAAGCATGATGCAGCCTCAGTTGCTTCACTGTTCGCCACAGATTAAGAAGTAATTATTATAACGTATAGATAAGTATATACATTCAACAAGTAATACAATTTAATCTCATCTCAATGCACTATTATATCATTAACTAGTTTTAATGTCAAAATAAATCAATAAATCTAACGCAGTAAAGTATACTAGTGTTAAATGTGGTTCGTGTACGGGCCGAGGCAGTCCCCGTCCCCGGCCCCCACACAGGCATAGCTTCCTTCATGTCATGCTAAAGTTTGGTGTCCGTGTACTGGCTATAGTGGGTTACCAGGTAAGAGGCAACAGAATTTATCTCCTCCCGGCTGGCTTCAATACTTCCTTGCTAAGTCTGAAGCTTTTATCATCAAAGTCGCCCTCACTAGTAAGTTATAGCTGGACTGTAGTGCTGTAGTAGAGTACTGTACTACTGTATACGATTTAGGTGATCTATTTTTAACCTGTGCTTGATTTCAATGCAAATGAATATAATGAATATCCTACTTACAATTTTGTTAGGCCCAATAAACCATTCACCTTTCATTTTGACAGGAAACTGTTCAGTGTAGTACAAAATCTTGAATATGTGGTATTTGCCGTGTTTAGTACAACAGTGAGGGACGGGTCCAACTAATTACCCAAATGTAGCCGCAATGAAGTCAAATGATGGTCCTACATGAATAAATCGGACTGCCAATCACTTCTCGACTGGTATTTGGTGCCACAAAGTCACAAAAAATTGGAAAACTTACTTTAATCTGAGTTAATTGATCAAGTGCATGTACCTAACCTAACCTAACCTAACACAACACAACTCAGATTAAATTAAGTTTACCAATTTTTTGTGACTTTATGACACCAAATAATAATCGAGAAGTGATTCACAGCCCGATTTACGCTTGTACGACCATCAATTGACTTCATTGCGGCTTCATTTGGCTACATTTGTGTAATTACTCGCTCCCTCGGTACATGCACGCGATCTATTAACTCAGATTAAAGTAAGTTTTCCAATTTTTTGTGACTTTGTTACACCAAATACTAGTCGAGAAGTGATTATCAATCCGATTTATTCATGTACGACCATTATTTGACTTCATTGCGGCTACATTTTGCTACATTTGGGTAATTAGTCGGACCGGTGAGGGCCGGGTTTGTGAAGTGGTGGTCACGGCGATGTACAGTACAGCAGTATTGGTAAAAATGTGAAAGTGAATGGTAAAAATTCTGAAGAGTACATCATATTTTTGATGATTTTTATTTCTTTAGATAGAGCAGGGAGTTCTGATGTACCTAACCTTCACTAGTTCTAAGGCTCTGGAGTTGTCTTTACAAATTTTCAGGGAGAAGCACAGGTGTAAGACACAGGCTGTTGTAGGTGCAAGTACTGTACTGTACTAACATGTTAAAAACAAATTACTTTGCCAAGTCTGACCGTTCTCATGATGGTGTTCACCTATTCAGAAATGCCTTGACTCAGGTATCTATTACTCCTACATAATATGGTCACATATGCTCCTTTATGTGCCACAAACAGTGTAATATACACCACAAAAGTTGGAGAGCACGGACTGCAGTTGAGTAGACAGGAACTCTTGTAGGTAGCTTCACTATGTGACATCAGTAGAACTTCTCTTAGTTTCCCTGTACAGTAGATGCATTACACAGCTTAGTTTGCATCTGTTTCATTTATAATCCAACCTGTCATGTTTGCCAAAATATGCACTAGTTCACATATTCCAACAAAATTCAATACAAGAAAATTTATGAATATAAATTTATCGGTAAAAGAACGTGTAACCAAAGAATCATGATAAATGGGCTGTTATGTTGAGTGGGTGAGAACTATTTGCTAAGCCACATCATGGCATCCCTAAGGAAGCTTGGCTGTGAGTTGTGTGACACTTGGTTCAGGGAGTGTTGTCATTCATTAAAGTCCATCATTAAATGAAGATTATGGATGTTAGGAAAGCCTGTTGTGTGAGCCGGTGACTTTAGGTACAGGCTGTCCCCGAGTTAGAAACAGCTTATGTTCCTGGACCCTGTTTGTAAATCAGAAGAGTATTAATAACAATGGCTAGGTTAAAGCACAACTATTCATCAGTGTGTGGAACCTCGAGGGCTTGTATCTCTCCAGTCGAGTGGTGTGAGTTATTGAATTCATTTAGCTGGGTTACCTCCCCAGGTCATGTCACCTTAGTTAGGGGATTATGGTACGTCTTCTTTGGCCTTCCTTTGGGGGGCTTCATTAAGTTCATCCTTAAAGGGGATGAGGTTCAGTGAATGTGTTTTTCTCGGGGTATTTAGTTGAACCTACCGCTATACGGGACTCCAGGGCACGTAAGAACCCTCACTAAGAAATGATTTATCTTTACCCGGGTTTCTGGGATAAATGGTGCGAGTCATGCTAATACTTGGACTCTGATGCCACTGTCTCTACTCGCCAGCTTCAACATACATGGCTACCTGGTTCATGACATGTTGTATTCTTTTTCTTTTATGAATTTTGAGAATTTTCTTTATTATATCCAGCACAGTTATTGATGTTTTGCTTGTTTGTAAGTTTATCTGGATTATTTGTGTTTAATTTCTTAAGGTGACGTTTATGGAAAAATAAGTTACTTGAGTAATTAGAGTGTTGTAGATTGATTAGTAGAAAGTGTTATTATTGCGCTGAACATTGGAAAAAATAATTTAATAATTACTGAAAATAAACTGTTCCTTTTCTAATTGTCTGTAGTTTTTGTCATTTGTTCCCTTTTTAATGTATTCTTGTCCTTTACTTTAGCAGATTCAGCAAAGGTGTGCTTCTTTCTTGGGTGTAGCAAGCAAGAGTATAGTGCCAAAGTTGACAATGGAGTACCCGAAAGTGTGCCGTGGGGACACTGTAGAGGAGATCCATGGAGTTAAGGTAGATCCTAGTTACTGTACTTTATATAACCTGTCAAGAGATATATTTCCACCTGTATTCTTACAAAACAGTTCAGTAAACCTTCACATCTGTTTCATTATTATTCATTGATGCTGACACAGCTTCTACATCAGCAGCAGTGTTAGATGCAGAGGAAGTAAAGTTGTCAATATCTTCTGCACCAAGCACACAGCCTCTGTTCTCCTTCATCTTATTTCTTCCACTCAAGGAATTTTGATAAATTTATTAGCAATTGCATACATAATGTTGATAATCCCCTGACTCTCTGAATTTAGTTTCATGTGAATCAAGTCCCTCAGACCTCCTCCTCTTGCTGTTACCATAACATGGAGTAAACTGTTGATACTTAGATTTTTTTGTGTGTGTAAAACCAGGTACCTGATCCTTACCGATGGCTGGAAGATCCGGACTCAGAGGAAACCAAGGTATTTGTGGAAGAGCAGAATGCCATAACAATGCCATATCTAGAGAAATGCAGCATTAGAGAGAGTATGAAGGCAAAGCTAACAGAGCTGTGGGATTACCCTAAGTACTCCTGCCCATTCCGTAGAGGAAACAGATATTTCTTCTTTATGAATACTGGACTACAGAACCAAAGGTAAGTTGTCGCCACTACTCACTCCACTCACCACTTCATCCCCTCCCCCCTCTTCCTTTATTCCACAAATCCTATTAAAATATTCTTGAAGTCATTCTTCCCATACTGTTAGTCCTTATCACAAGGGTTCCATTTCTGAAATTTGCAGCAGTGTACAAAATTGTGGTACTATATGTAGAACTAATTTTCCTGCAAGAAAAGGTTTATTTAAGAGAGATGTATTCCTGGTGAAGAATTTTTAGTCGGGGAGTGGGGGGGAGGGGAGTGATTTTTCATACAGAAATTCTCATACATCAATAAGAAAACTTGAAATGCATACAGGAATGTATGAAATACTTCTACAATATTAATACAATTGAGAGGTGTGTATTTTTTCTCCCTTTCACAGCTGTCAGTAAACTGTTGTTCCTTCACCAAGCTCATGCCATTATTATAAATAATAATGTCCTAATTGTTCACTCATTGTGCACTATTTGGGGTGATTTATAAAACATAGTGTACTGTACATACATAAACAACCTTCACTACACACAAGGCTTAGCACAGTGGCTGCTCCTTTAGCAGACTGTCATCATCTTCCATGCTGTTACAGGTGCTTCTCAAAGGTCCTGTTGATTGCTGCTTAACTAGAAGTAATGGGTGCCTGCAGTTTGAATTTTTTCTTTTAATTGCATTGTGAATCGCTCTCTGTGGTGAAACTGAGTCACTGTAATGAGTCTCTGAACTGACTTACCCTGACTGTTTCATCTTACTTGTGGTCCATGCTGCTTCATTTTGGGCGGGAGTGAACTTTTGATCCCGACTGTACATTACGTTAATTGAGTAATTTTGTGATGAAAACTAGATTACATCAGAATGCTATAGATACACACATAGCACAGTATAGCACAGTACTGTACATGTGTGTATGCATGCATATCATGCTAAATACGGATAAATGTGAAATAATCTCTACAAATCTGTATATTGTATCATATACGTATAGTGGTGATCCTGTAGATAATCATAATGCAAACTATAAAATTAATACTGTAACATCAATACAGTATTAACCTAACCTACTTCAGGTATGATTTGTTCATATTATGATAGTAAATGGTTATACAGTATCTCCTTTGTATATATATATATGCAAATAAATCACTGTAGGTGCGCGTGATCCAGGTATATGTTGATAACCACAAGGAAAAAGAAAACACGAAGTTCCCAAGCGCTTTCGTGTAATTCACATCTTCAGGGGTGAGTACAGACTGTACTCACCCCTGAAGATGTGAATTACACGAAAGCGCTTAAAACATTTTCTTTTCCTTGTGTTGTCAGTGTATTGTGTGTTATATATATATATATATATATATATATATATATATATATATATGTATATATATATATATATATATATATATATATATATATATATATATATATATATATATATATATATATATATATATATATATATATATATATATATATATATATATATATATATTATATATTTATTGTTGATGCTGATGCAGAATCCTGAAATCTCATAAAATTATAATCAAAAGTGCCTTTGAGCATCTGCATCATCTTCATAGTTTTATTTCATATTCTGGCTTCCTTTCTTTAATCACAGCAGCCTTAGTTTAACTTTTCTCTCACTGGTCATGCAGCTCTTCTCAGCAGTCCTGCAGCCTCTCTCATTAATACTGTATGATTCATAAAAATGTTCAAACATACAGTATTGTATTTTAATTGGGATAAGAGAAATTTGCTCATTGAAAAAATCATACGTTCTTATTATCTTTCAGTGTGATGTATGTCCAGGACTCGCTGGACGGAGAACCACGGGTATTTCTCGACCCAAACAAGCTGTCAGAAGACGGCACTGTAGCTATATCGGGTTCAGCCTTTAGTGAGGATGGAGAAATCTATGCCTATGGCCTCAGCAGCAGTGGTTCTGACTGGATAACTGTACATTTTAAGAAGGTAGAGATGTAGGAATACTTCTTGATAGTGTATTTTAATTGTAAAAGTAACTTCAGTTGTATCTTCATGTTGTACAGTACGCTGATGCTTAACAATTCTTCGTGTTCGGAAATAATTTGTTTTAATATTTCTCTTGATTGTTTGTTGCAGGAAAGTGTGAGGATTGGTCTGTACAATGTGCTATATGTAATGAGATAAAAGTTTGAGTTAAGCTTATTAAGGAACTACAGTAGTGTGTACAATCGGCAAACTTTTTAGATGATTTTGCCGAGTTTTAAGTAGAAAGTGTGATATACAAAACTATAATTTTTTGAGTATTACTGAACTGTACATCACTCAGAACTTGAGACACTTCATAGGACTTGACATTTTGCAGGTGTCAACTAGTGAGGACTTCCCGGAGGTGTTGGAGAAAGTCAAGTTTTCCAGTTTATCTTGGACCCATGATCACAAGGGGATTTTTTATGGGGTAAGTCCTGTTACTGATTTTAAAAAACTTAAGGGAACCAGTTGCTGATTAGTGAAGACATTAATGAATGATTATAGTTTACTTAAGGTAGCGTTTTTAGCTTACTTTTGTGTTAAGAAATTGTCTTTAGGTGTTGAAGGAAGTGTTTGGAGCAGTGCTTGTGTTACTGAGAGTTTGGTTGCTTTAAGTTTTATACGACACTAAAGAGAGCATTACTGTTTATTAAGAAAAGGAACAAGTGGTGCAAGATTGTGAAGAATATGATACGGTACAGGGAAAGGGTAAGTTATGTTAGTTAAGTGAGTGAATTACTAGTATGTGAAGTAAAGATTTGTTCTCCAGCCATGTCTGTTGTAGTAATTGGTTATGGGGGACGTGGTGATGACTGTTGACGTGTTTGGTCAAGTGAGATGTGATCACCATTGTACAATTTCTAGTGTAGTGTTTATTACACTAGTTATGAATATTTTGATGAGGTGAAGTGTTTTTGTAATATGGTTTAGACTTCTTATATAAAATCATTGTATTTGGTTAAATTCATAATGAATTTTATTTCTCAGTGTATCACCCGAATATAATTTTGTGTGTGTGTGTTAATGCAAGTTTTATTAAAAATAAATCTTATGAATATGATTAAATGCTCAACAGAAAGCTTGTCTCTCCCCAAATAATTGAAGAAATATGTATTTTGTAATCTGTCCTGATGGAAATCTTCCATTTTGATCAATTTTGATATTTTTGTTTTTACTCAGAGATATATTGATCATGAGGGCACTGCTGACGGGACGGAGACTTCAAGTAACGAGAATCAGAAGCTGTTCTATCATCTTGTTGGGACGCCACAGAGCGAAGATGTTCTGGTCGTGGAGTTTCCCGAACACCCCAAATGGCGCATGTGAGTTGTGAATTTCATGTACAGATAATTATTCTTAAGGATTAATGGCTCACCTAACATTTCCTTGCAGCACTGTATGTGAATTTTGTGATGGATAATTACATTCTCATACCTAAAGCTGCCATGAATTTCAGACCTCCTTGTCATTCTGTTCTTTATGTGTAGCCCCGCTCGTGTATCTGACTGTGGGCGCTTCCTTATTTTGAGTCCCTTGGAGCTGGGTCACCACGACCACCTGTACATTGCCCTGCTCCCTTGGCTCTGGGGCCAGGAAATTAGTGGCATACTGGAGCTCCTCACCATCATATCATGCTCCACGGGCAAACTGTGTGGTGTAGGTGTCATTGTCACTCAACTCGTTTCCCCTCTTAAAGTTTAACCGAATAAATTTTACATATAGAGAGAGGTAAACAGCACTGCTCCTGTCAAAAATATTTTCATGGGCCTTACTTGATGATCATACAAGGTGGTGCATAGTATGAAGAGAAATGTTTGTGATAGTGTACCGGGTAAACTAAGAACTAGAGGTGTTTCTGTATTATAATTAAACACATCATGAGAGTACTCATCAGTGGTGTTACCATAAATACAGTCTTGTGCAAACTAAACTGCTTCACAGATATACAGATTGATTAAAAGGGGGGAAGTTATGTCACCTGTAATACCTTGTTTGTGATAGTCATTTTGGTTTGTGACAGATGCACCAGTTTATCTGAAAATGATCCGTAGTGATCTGTCGGCCAAGTCTCTTGTTTGACTTCCCCTTGTGCGCATATCAGTCCAGATGTCAAGCTGTATAGTCTCCAGATATATCAAAAATAATGTTTCAATCAAGTCGAAGAACCGTATGGTGTTTTTTGTGATGCTGGGAGGAAGACTTTGGCAAATTAGGAATGGTAATTGTTGCAGGACAGGTCAACATATAGCAGTGGCCACTAGTTCAGTTTTGAAGTTGTTACTGAGTTGGTGTAACATGTAAGCCATACAGAGGTGATGATGGTTGACCTTATTTACATCAAACTTCACCAGGTAAAGATGATCAAGTAAGGACACTGCTAGGTAGATGGTTAAAGTTAACCTCTCACTATTATGTAAAAGTTTCAGCATTTAGTGAGAATTTAATCATGCTGTCAAATAATAGTTGGTTAATTGAAATATTTGAAAATTTTGGCTCTGGCATATAGAGTTATGTACAGTGTTTAACATTGGGAAGATATTGAAGTATATGTCCATTATTCTTAGAGTGCTCGAAGGAGAAAGCCTTTCATGGCTAAGAATAACGTGATTCAGGAGGAGATATGTACTCAGGTACCATGTTAAATGTGTAACTATTTGAGTCTTAGTTGTACGGTATTTTGTTTCACCTCTTCCAAGTTGAGCCTTTCAGCACGTTGTTATACAACCTTTTTCCCCCGAGTTCAAAGTACAGGAATCACTTTGTATCGGGAATATCACAGTAATATAGGTTTTTAATCCCCATAATTGTAATATATCAGAGAGGTGGAAATTAGTCCAGACCTGTTTAATACTGGCAAGTACTTTATGCTTTGAAAATAACGTGCCGTTAACTGGAAACAATAAGTTGTAAACAACTAACTTGGTTTTGGAGTCACTACCCCAAATGTTATGCTGTCTGTTAGAAGGAAAAATAATGTTTTCACCTTATAGTCAAGTAATCAATACTAAGTTACTACAGTATAGATTATGCTGGCAAAATTGCAGTTGAATTAGTCCTAACAATTATATAGATCATGGCTCCTGATTAACTGTGGTTCTTTGGGCACAATTCAGAAATTTTTAGTTTACTTTTCCTCAGATATTGTAATTTTTTTTTTTTTTTTTATTATTGAAAGGAAATTTGGAAAATCGTTTATTCTAATTTAGTTGTACAGTACTGGCAGTTTGTAATGTGAAGTAAAATTTTAATTGTAATTTTAACAGTATAGATGGAGATGACATACTGTACTAACTGAAATTAATTGGCAACAAGTTCTACTCCTACTTAATAAGTAGCGAGTTTAGGAACTCTGAAGTTACAATTATATAATTATTCTGATAAAGCTTTCACCTAGAGAAGTGATCACTGCAGCGCACTGCATGGGAATGATGACTAATGTTCAAGGTTGTGCTGGTAATGTATGCAGCAGATCCATCAGTCAATTACTTTAAAAAAGAACTACACGTTTAGGTCATGGCACTGTACTGCTGTTGTTGTTGTGTGTGGGGGCATGTGGGCGTGCGTTTCTTGCTGGATGTATTTTTAACTTCGTTCCTGGCGGCTGATATGGCCCTGTCAGAGGTACCATATTTTACCTGTACTGTACTTGGCTTATGATATTTAATTTCTATGGTATATTATCCTATTATGCTTACTGTTGTATTGGTCATCTATTATTTATTTAATTTTTTTCAGTGAATATTTACAACATACAGTATTTACAGTACAGTACTTATAACCATAATGGGATAAATAGCTGATATATGAGCATTTTTTTTTTTTTTTTGGGGGGTGTTTTGGTTCCCTTTCTAAAATAGTACTGAACCACCCCAAAGTTTCTCATTTTTGTGAAGTGATTTCCCTCCAATTCTTGGTGCGTGAATGTTCAGTCATTTACACACTTATGAACACAATATTAATCACATTATTTTCACTATATTGCAACAGCCACTCCCACATATCACCACCATAGTCACCCCCACATCGCCTCAGTGCACACCCCAACACACGTGGGGAAAAATATAAATACTGTAGTGGTAATACGACTAGTGGGATATCAGAGCGTTCCACCAATGACACGGAGCACACACCAGGTACGTACGTCCTCCGGCAGACTGCTTGGTGTTCTGGGATGTACAAGGTGCATCCTCTGACCTGAAGGAGTCCAGTGATAATAGCAGTAGTTTAAGGGATTTTGTGAATATTAGTGTTTTAGTTTGAGACCTGGAACTTACCTCATATTTTCCCAAAGTTGCCATTGATTTACAAGTTGTGATTACAACTCCAAGGGTTTTGTCAGAATAAGCCCCACAGTGTGGTGTAGTTGGGAGTTTTGGTTCATTATGTTGCATAAGTTAATAATTTTGCTTAATACAAAGCAAACAGAAATAACAATAATATTATATGTTAATGTAAATTCATACAGTACAGTACAGTTGACTCCAAATGTTTCACATTTTAACAACATGAATTGTTTGTATACAGTGAGGAAGGCACAACTAGCATTATTAGAGTCACAGACTGCTCTGGACAATGTACACTGCTGCAGTGTGTGTGTGGGGGATGCTGTGTGTGCATGTTGGGAGGATAAGTGTGTATGGTGTGGGGGGATGGTGTAGTGTGCCTCATACTTTATCTTGCTCAGCTGGAATTTTACATCCTCTCGGATTATTTTTCATTTGTCGTTTACATTGTATGAAGAAAAAGGCAGATTTGGTCTTCACTGCACAAATATTGAATTTTTTTATTCACTTTTGTAATGAATAAATTTATATTATGGTTTTTATCATGATTAGTTCCTTTCGACTGGCCAGGGAGGAGCACAATATAACTTCCTATCAACTTGACCAGTTCTACTTGAATTCAGTCTTACTTGGGTTACTCAGGATTTTAACCCAGCATGATATCAAGAAGCAACGGTGTTTGGCAGCCCAGCTCTTTTGGCAGACATGGAATTTGCTCCATTGCTTTTGGTCTAGTATAGCTTTTTTCAGAACATGATCTCTGAAGAATCCCCAGTACTGTACAGTCTTGTAATATTCCAGGCATTTAGGTGACAGTTATCTGGTAATTCAACATAATACCATAGTTACCTGTTGAATACTGTACTGTATAATATGCCTCATTCTTGTTTTGATGGCAAAGTTAACAGTACATGAATCATAATGCCTGTGCTTTATATCTTGCACATAATTCTTTAATTTTATTAAATTAAAAAGGGGTGTAAAATTTTAGTGACATGAGTTCACAAACCGTATAAGTAGTGCAGATGATGAATGATGTTGCCTGACACCTCACAGTTTTGTCATCTAATCATGTACTGTATATACAGCTCTTAGAATAGTTTTTGAGAACCTCGCATATTTCAGGAAATGTTAACTAACTTTAGCATGAATAAGGGGTTGGGTAAATTATTTGCAGAGCTGTTAATATGCTGAAAGAAATTGTAGAGGTTTAGCCAGAGTCTCAGGGGAAGGTGTGGAAGGCATTTTAGGTGGTAGAAATATTTGATTACCTGATCAGAACTTCAGTCTTGTCCTCCTCATGGCTTTCTTGAGAATTCTCCACTATCTGAGTCTTTGGGATGATGATGTGGACTGTGAATGTAGTTGCTAGCAACTTCCTGAAGAAGTAGACAAGTTTAATAATAAGTAATCATGTAGTTTTTAGTAATACTTTTAAAGTGAAGAATAACTTAACAAATTTGTTAAAAACAAAGTATCGTGCAGAAAATAAGATCTATTGAAGGCATTCTGGAAAAAATAAGATGGTAGAACCAGTTTCAAAAGGTGGTGTTGGTGGAAGATGGAAGTTAATGGGAGAAAGGTTCTGTGTGGCTATTCAGCTACTATATTGCACAAGTGGCCTTATAAGAGAGGCTATAACATTATTTAGATGAAGGAATAATGTGATAGTGTACTGTAGGTAAAATAATGTTGGTTAAGGGTTAGATATGAGAAATGGAAGTGTAAAGTCTCAGGACTGGGTTAGGTTTGGGCATAAGTGTGTTGTTGGTGGAGGTGTGTTTAGTAAGCTGATGATATAAGGGTTAAATTATGCTGAGTTGTCCAAAATCTCACATGTGAAACAACTTGTGTAATGTTTTCACTTATTTACATAAGGCTTGAGTGTCCAATTCCAGCCTAGCTCTCTTGTGGTGCTGTTATACATCTCCCTAGCCCTCTCACTACCAGGCTGAGCTGTGAGGTGTTATGGTTATTTTTCAACTCATAATTTCAAGTAAATATACATAACTTTCTTCATTTTTTATTTGTATTCAGTTACAATTACATGCACATGCAATCCTACATACATAATGCGCAAAAAATATAAGAAAATAAATTATATTCATAAGGTTAAACACATAAAAGGAATTAACATTTCTTTGCTCATGAGATCAGGGAAGCAGGGAGAGGGAACAGTGTGTGTGTGTGTGTGTTTTTTTTTTTTGGGGGGGGTAGTCAAATGGTTGACAAATTTCGTTGTCCAGCAACCAAATGGCAATACGGTATTTTATATAATTTTTTCGGTTTTAGTTTTATTTATTCCTCACATTTACCGGTATACTGTATGTTAATTTATCTCATTCCTCATAGGAGTAGGTAACTGGAGGGAATTCAGTTTCAGAGTTGGTAACACTGTTCGTAGCATCAGCTGTTGTGGTAGTGGTTATGGCCAAGACACATTGGTGTAAATCCAGTGTCCTACAAATTATGTCTAGCATAATACCTAATATTTTTCAAAAGCTAGGGTTGAATTATACAAAAGACATGAAAAACTCTGGATTTTTTACCCAAAATAGGGGGTCGAACTATATATGAGATCGGTTTACACACGAATACTGTACTGTATAGGTAATTCATCTTATTTGGACACATGAGAGTGAGAAATAGACTGGGAATGAAAATATGCTGAAAAACTCAAGCTATAGAATTGAGTTTACCTGTGGACTGTATTTGGGTTTTTCAGTATGATAACTGAGGAAGTGTGTGGGATTTTTGTTATGACTGTGAGGACTAAAAGGGCCTGAAATTGTACAAACTTACAAACAGAATGGCAATGAGGCTGTATAGAGATAACAAGAGGGTATGCTGGGTTGAGGAAGGCAACTCACAGCATTGGAGGGAAAGGTGGAGGAATGTATTGAGAACAAGGAAGGAGAAAGGCAGAATAGAATAGGACAATAGATAGTGATGGGATAGTCTTGTGGGATGTCAGCCTCCAGAGAAGAAAGGTCCATAGGGAAGGGGAGGACGTCACAAATACGAAAAAATCATAAGTGAAAATAATGGAATCATCTTCTTTTGTAGTTCACCCCCCCCCCCTTTTTTTTAAATCACGGAATTGGGAGGATGCAGTGATTGGAAAATATGAGTGATTGGTTCTTCATGATACTTTTTTTGATTGCAATTAAATAAGATCCATAAATCATTTTATTCTCTCCATGTTCTGTATTAATCTGGTGGTGGTGGTGAATCTAAGTAACGACTGTTATCAAAAACTTAATATTCTTGACTTGGTGGTTGAAGGTGATAAATTATCTTGACAACCCTTGGTCATTCCAGTTCTTCAAAAGTGACGGACTGCGGATCATATCTGTTTGCCTTCCCACGTGAGGGGTGTCGGGACAACCTGGTGTATTTTGCAAGCCTACCAGAGAATATCACCAATAAATTAGAGCTCACTTGCATTGTAGACAAGTTTGAATCTGATTTTGAGGTTTGACTTGGTTTGCTTGTACAGATACAGACACACACATCCTCTCAGCTTGTATAGAATCAGGGAAGCAGTAGGTATGTTACAATATTGTTTGTAAAAGAAAAAATTAAATATCAAAATAAAAAGAAAGAGAAGCGTTCGTACCTGTGTTTGCAATCTGGCGCACGCATTATTCGGTAGGATTGAGACACAAGTTACTTACAGAAGAGATTTGCACAGTACCTGATGTAGGGGAAATGTGCTGAGGTTTTGCTAGCATGAATTCCACATTGCCCATAAAATTGAGGTTTAGGTTTGTTCTTTGAATTTGTTTCAATACCTCAGTAGTGATAACAAGTGCCTGAATACTGTTGATTTGTAATCACTTCCAGATATATACAGTACAGTACTTAATAGTTTTATTCCATCTGACACATTAGTAGAGTTAATGTTCAGCAGGATACTTTGTCACTTTTAAGTTATTCTTTATATTATAATAAGAATCAATTAACTTTATAACTTCAAGATAATTGTGAATCAATTTTTAAAATATACCTGTAATGTTTTTGTTTTTGTAATTATCAGGTTTTAAGTTTTAATGTGTAGGAAATATAGCCCAGACTGTCACTAACACTCTTTTCTCTGCAGTACGTTACAAATGATGGAGCAGTGTGCATTTTCCGAACTAACAAAGGAGCGCCCAATTACCGTCTGGTGAAGATCGACCTTAGTGACCCAGTCTCTGAGAAGTGGGTAACTCTCGTACCCGAACACAAGAAGGATGTGTTGGATTGGGCGGCTTGTGTTCACGGCAGTAAATTGGTCATCTGCTATATATCTGATGTCAAGGTTGGTTAGTTGAGGGATATACAGTACAGTAGCAGAACATTGTTTTACTAGACTAATTATATTATAGCTTTGGTCATAGCACTACATTCTCTGGACTTTTAAATATTATAAATATCTAAAATTATTTCAAAGGTCATTAATAATTACTCAAATTTTTTAATTGTGAACCCAGATCCTTAATCAGATTGTAAAGTAGTACCTTTGTATGAAATACAGACAAAATCCATGCTATGACCCAAGTGGCAAAACACAAGGTATTAGGTTAGGTGTGTTATATAGTAAAGATAATCTATTTTTAAGAAAATTTATGTGAAGGGGATTTAAAATATCCGAGCACTATGGTACATTTTTTGTCGAAGAATACAGCTTAAGGTACCGTAACATTCCAACAGGCATAATTTGTTCATAAGCATTTATTAAAACACCTTTAAACAGGTATTAGCTAATCAATATATTTAGTAATGCTCCCAGATTGTCCGCTACTTGTGGCAACTTAAGTGCATTTACTTTTTTTAGCACAATCTAACCCTCACTTTACAATAGTGGGTATATGCTCGGAGATGATAATGCTATTCAGTGCTCACAAAACTTTAAGACTGCAAACATGGTCTGGATCCTTCTCTGAGAACACTTCTGAAGCTCTTATCAAATTTCACTATTGGGTATTTTCTTTCATAGATTAAAATTTTTGACCTACTTTATATATTTTATTCAAAAAATACATTAAAAAAGTGGATATCTGTACCTCCTTCCATTGACATTTCTTCTTGTAGTTTTCTCTCTTGTTGTAATCCATGATCCCCTGTAAGAAATAATGAGCATTTTGTAATGCTGATGATACTTCCAGAGTGTTTTGCAACTGCACAGTTTGGAGACAGGTGAACACCTCACCACCCTTCCATTGGACATTGGTACAGTGAGTGGGTACTCAGGGAAGCGCACCCACTCAGAGATGTTCTACCAGTTCACATCTTTCCTCTCTCCGGGAGTAATTTACCATCTTGATCTTACTCAAGAACCTCTCAAACCCAAGGTAAACTTTATTGAAATTTGCATACAGTACAGGTATTTACATTCAAATAAAATAATATACCTGCATAATGTATGTACAGTGTGATCCTCTAAGGTCTTTCATAAATTGCAGGGTGTATTCTTGTGACATTTATAGTACAGTACAGTATAGAAGAAAAAAAATCTAGTTACAGCGCTGATATTTGACTAGTAAATGAAAAGTAGCTCAATGGGTTTTCTTCATTTCAGATTTTCCGGGAAATCAAAATTGAAGGATTTGATCCAGAGCAGTTTGAGATGCGGCAAGTGTTTTTCTCAAGCAAAGACGGTACAAAGGTCCCCATGTTTGTAGTGCACTCTAATGGCTTGAAGCTTGATGGAATGGCTCCTACCTTGCTCTATGGTTATGGTGGCTTCAATATCAGCATCCAGCCTTATTTTAGCATCTCCAGAGTCATATTCTTACAGATGTTTAAAGGTGTCATTGCTGTTCCAAACATCAGAGGTGGAGGGTGAGTGTTTACAGTGGGAATGTATTGTATTTCTTCATATATATTATATGACCATAATTGTGGCAGCATGGAACATGAATTCTTTGTAAATGGTAAATATATATACATTTTTTTTTTAATTTTTAAATTAATTGGTATAGCATTGTCTGTCTGTATTACTTATCCATGGTAACCAATTTTTCTCATAGTTATGATGTAAGAAAATCACTCATGTGACAATTTCTCAGTACTTATGGTCATTTAGAGACTTGACCAAAGTTCCCATATTGATATTGTGTACAAGTGGCGAGGCTTAACTGGAATGTTGTTGACCCACAAAAACAAACCAGGCAGCACAGGGTTACCCAGTTAGTAATTAATATTGTTCATGTTTTTGTCCGGACTTTTGGCCCATTTGACTTCACTACAGTGGTGGGAGGATATGGCCATTGTTATTTGGCAAACTCTTGTTGAATTTTAATTGACTTGCTCAACTTTATATTCACATAAGTGTTATAATTCTTTAGTTGTTAAATTACACATTCTTACTTTCTAGTGAGTATGGAGAGGCTTGGCATAATTCTGGACGGTTACTCAACAAGCAGAATGTGTTTGATGATTTCCAAGCAGCCGCAGAGTTCTTAATCAGTGAGAGATACACATCCAGTAACAGAATCATCATTCAGGGTGGCTCAAACGGTGGACTACTAGTGGGAGCCTGTATGAACCAACGACCAGAGCTGTTTGGAGCCGTCATTGCTCAAGTTGGGTGAGTATTATAAAATGACTTTGATAGAACTTTTCCACTATCTTAGTAACTCCAGCATCTTGTATAATCTGTATAATCATAATGATCTCAGAAGTAGCTTAGTGTCTTCATTAGATTTTTTTTTCCAATAACTGCCACTGTTCCATTTGGGAAATCATGGGTCACACACACACACACACACACATGACAAAATTTCGTCTTTTTTATGAATTTCAAGATACAAATTCTAGAAGCCACTAAAACCATATAAAAATTTTGTATCTATCATGGATAGATGAGTCTGAAGTGAGGTAGAGTAACTGACAAGCACTGAGCCCTGTTTGTTGTTGATGCAAGAGGTGGTTGTAGTGACAAACAATGTGGTTGTGGTGGTGCAGCAGTGGGTGTCTGTGGTGCAAAGTGGGTTGTAAGTCCTTTTGTAAGTGATGAGCCAGGCTGTGGCATCAAGGTGTGGGTGACAGCCACTGAGGACAGGAGGTGCGGGAGGGGGGGGTGGATGAGGCATATGTAATTTCAAGTCCATCCATAATGATAATAGCAAGTTGATTTGAGGCTCCACCAGCCTTGTCTCTCCCTCTAGAGTGTCTACCAATCATCGACTTTCCATTGTTGGTATCATTTTTGGTGCTGGGCTTTAAATTAATGGCAGCAAATGCCAATTGTCTTGTGACAACTATAGCGTGATTTCAGTAAATCAGCCGAAAACAATGATTGTAGTTAAAGGTAATTGTTAAATCTTACCGTACCATAAAAAGACTTGAAACATATCAGATCACTAACATTGAATTTTACTCGTGATAGTATGTTGGATAGTTATACACCTCACATTTGCTGCACAATACTGAACTACTGCCAACATCACCTCACAGACAGAACATTACTATTGTCCACTTTTCACCAAAGGTTCTTCACCAATGTCATTAATGTCATTAATCATTACTTTTGTTTTTGCTATGTTCACTCCCATACTCTTTGACACCATTCCACTTAGTAAATGTCTCCCTAAGTATCCCTCACTAAGGATATCAAGTTTCTGGGTTATGTGCCCGCTCTGTGCACGATAAACGGTGAAAATCTCTGTCATCTTAGGCACAGCCAGAGGACTGTACAGTAGCCGTGTGCAACCATCAGTCTAATGTTAGTGTTGCTGGCTTTTACTAAATTTTCACTAATATCCTCCTGGGTTTATGCTGATTTATCATATACTGTAGTGACCTCTAGAAGTGTCAGTAGAAGTGGAAAAGGCTCTGTAAAGGAAAATCTTAATCTCACTTAACCAATGTCATAATTTCTCGGTAACTTCCATGTCCTCCACTGCACGTAGCTATTTCATTAATTATTTTCATTATTGGCTTCTAATTATAATGTACACATTATTTTTAAAAATACGTTTTATAGGATTTTAAAACATTTTCCCTTCTCTTCCCCTCCCACCCCCATTGAAACATACAGCAGCTTTTATATTGGAATCTATGGGAAAATGGAATCCAATTTATGAAATCAAGGACAGCCTGTACAATATATTACTTTAACATAACCAGTGTTCTCAAACCTTTTAAACAAGTGACACAACTATGTGTCAAATTTAATCATTTTTGTTAGTTAGAAAACATTGTCAGGGAGTTTTGATAATTCTGCCTCAAGAACTTTGCTTGTACTAATTAACATGAAAAAGGTACTCTTCAGAGATTTTTCTTATTTTAGGGTGATGGACATGTTGCGATTCCACAAGTTCACCATTGGTTATGCTTGGTGCTCAGATTATGGCAACCCAGATGAGAAGGAGCATTTTGAGAACATTTTCAAGTACTCGCCTCTACAAAATGTAAAGGTCCCACCCGAAGGTACTCAGGTATGTTTTTCACTCTAGGTAATTATTTTTCCTTGATTCATTTTCAGAAGACTACTGTATTTACTTTTCATACACCATACACTTATGGACAAAAGAAACATTTGTATCCATAATTATTCAATAATGCTATGAAAGCCATTGTAGTCTTAGAGGAGAGTAGAATAAATTTATTTATATTACAGAATAGGTTACTTGGCCATGATTAACAGGTTAAACAAGTGGCACTTGCCTTATCTCTTTTTGTTGGAAAAAACAAAATTTTTACCACACTTTGCATATATTCTTGGCAATCTTGTGTGACTTGATAGTCAGGAAATAATCTACTGCTACAAAATCCAGCCTAAGCCTGAATTTGGAAAGATCTCCCATATTTTACTGTCAGGTTGTAGAGTGAGAATTACTTTTGTCATTAGCCCTTAAGGTATGTCCATAACACAGGAGGTGGTAATGGAGACTTGTGGTAATTTATGTACAGTAATTTATATTATTGGCTTATTCCTCTCCTTCTCTTTACAGTATCCTGCAACTCTGCTGCTAACGGCAGACCATGATGATCGAGTGGTACCATTGCACTCCTTCAAACTGATCTCGGAGTTGCAATACAAGCTTGGTAACAACCACACACAGACAAACCCTCTCTTAATTCGAATTGAAACAAAAGCTGGGCATGGAGGAGGAAAACCCACAGCAAAGATTGTAAGTGAAGAAGAGACTATTAATAATATTCATGCATTTCGATTGTTATCTTGGAGAAGCATATATGTGTTGTTTGGTTTTTCAAATAATGTTTATCTTGCAGATTGAGGAACACACGGACATCTACTGCTTCATCATGCAGGCCCTCAGTTTAGAGGCATCATCATGACTGAACCTTTGTAGTGACCCCAGTTGTACCTCGGTAACACTTCATTGTACAAGATATCAACCATAGCTCCAAAATCTGTACCTTCTGTGACCTTTCTTTATATAAACTTGATAATACTTGATACTTACATTTTGATGCCAAAGATTGTAGAAAGAAAATCTCACTTTCATTTAGACGACAATAAATCACACAAGAATTTTCTAAGACGCCCATTGTGTCTTACATCCTGATTATTTACAGTAGTTCTTTATGCTTGTTATCAAAAATATGTTGACATGTAAATTTAAACAATACATTAAATATGCTGCTTTGAGATTTTATTTTCATAACTTTTTGAAGTTAGACAGAAGACTATACACAAAGTAGTACAGTATTATAAGAATGAGAACTGATAATTAATCATTAAAACATAAATGCCCTAACAGTTACTGATGTTATTGCTACTTATCCATTATCTGCAGTTATAATTCTAAAACACCTATTCTGGGTGTCAAATATTCATTAGTAGGAAACCAACTCGGCAAAACTATTGTTGGTGAAAGAATACACATAGCACAGCACAACACTGACTTAAAAAATCAACTTATAAACTTTAAGAAATTTATCATAAACATCAAGTCTATAGTTTTGTTTAATCTGCAGAATAATTTATGATAAAAAGAGAAGTAAAACAATCTGTAATTCATTCAATAAATTTTGTATTCTAGGATTTTTTCTTTTACATACAAGTTTTTGAATTCATGTAGCTTGAAATACATCCAAAATAAGGTAGAGACAAGCTTGATTGTGAGGCAAAAGCAGCAAGCCTGAAACTAGAAGAACGGACAAAATGAGCTTGACCTTGACCTGTGATCACCTCAAAACTATTTCCAATGGACCAGACATCTTCAAATTACCCAGAAAATACCCCTCATTTGTATATCAAAGTCAACTGTGTCAAAAGTTATGTTACTTTTACTTTCGTATGGAGTCGCACGGTGGCCATCTTGGATTTGGCCAAAATGGTTCCGTTGCCATGGGTGGAATCTGGTAGGTGTTGACTAGTTTTATGTGCAGGAGCTTTTATTGTGTAGATTACCTCCTGATTATTTTGTGATATATGTATGATACACTGTACAGTATATCTTGTAGTGGCAGGGTAGGGTAGGGTCTGGCTGAGGGAGTTAACTGGTTCAGGTGTAGTGAGGCAGTGTGCTGTATATGCTCACGTTCAGGGTGTCCCTATGGGTACTGTCATTCCCTGTGGGTACTGTCACTCCCTGTGGGTACTGTCACCTACATAATGGTGTCGAGAAGAAATTAACTCTTGGGAGACGTGTGTGTGTGTGTGTATATATATATATATATCACAGATGTTTTCTTGTGTAATTTACATTTTTATTTTATTTTATTTATTTTTTATTTGATACAATGAATATATTCAATGTTTAGTTCTAACTTGATCACATGTATTTGGCAAATGTTGGTAGATGTTATTGTATTTAGTTTTAAACTAAGTTATTGATTAGCTCTATACTTTAGCTTATTTTTTTCTTCTCATAGTGTAGTTACTATGTGTGCATTTAAATATACAATTTATGCGTTTTCCTTGTATCCTCATCATGATCGTATTGACTCCATGACAAATCTGTTAACTTTAATGTAAGTATTTTTTTTTTATATACATTATTGTAAAGGGGCACATGTTTGTGTTGCCATTTTGCCATAGGAGAGTGTTGCATTGTCATGTAGGCAACAACTACATACTGCTCTGCCCTTCCCTTTGTGTTGCCATGACTATTTTTAAGGGAAGGGAAATTGCACCGCATCCAACACCACCAACACACCAGTCCCTCCACACAGTCTCCAGTCCCTCCACACAGCCTCCAGTCCCTCCACACAGTCTCCACTCACTCCACACAGTCGCCAGTCCCTCCACACAGTCTCCAGTCCCTCCACACAGCCTCCAGTCCCTCCACACAGTCTCCACTCACTCCACACAGTCGCCAGTCCCTCCACACAGTCTCCAGTCCCTCCACACAGTCTCAGTCCCCTCCATGCAGTCTCAGTCCCATCACAGCCTCCAGTCCTCCCTGATCTCCCAGTCCCTCCACAGCCTCCGAGTCCCTCCCACGTCTCAGGTCCACTCCAGTCCCTCCACACAGTCTCCAGTCCCTCCACACAGTCTCCAGTCCCTCCACATACTAAACTTAACATACGTAGACTCACAGTCAATTAAGAACATGAAAGCCAGTTCTTAGACTTCATCCATGACTGGTACAATGATTACAAGCCTGACAACTACTAAAGTCCCCATGATGATCTGATAGTTATACATACTTCACCAACAATGTTTCCACCAAAAAAAGGAGAAAACATGGTCAGCATCTTGTGAGCAGGCAACAGCAGTGCTATGATGACCCTTAACTGAAAACAAACTCGGGGCTAGAGTCAGGAGGGTGGGTAACGGTTACAAACAAATTAGAACACCTCAAATGCTACAATTGTATTAAGCCTCCCTTGCTGTTGCCAGGGAACGTGTAAACGAACTCGGACAAGATGCATGGGAGACATATGTCAACAGCCTGAGCCAACACTCATCCCTCAGCAAAGCCTGGACAGACATAAACACTATCAGAGGTAAAAACAGTAGACACGTCTCCTATCCAAACCTGCAAATTCGAATGCACTAATAACAAAGTGGGCTCATGTGTCTAGCTATGACATGTTACCAACTAGGACTCGAGGACTCCTTGATGCGAAGTCTGTAGAGAGAAGTAATCTTATTAACTTTATGCTGGGTAAACAGCACGATGAGTGTGATGTTCCATATACTGAGTGGGAACTTGACGCTGCCTTTGCCAAAGGTAGGTCTACTGCCCCTAGAGAGAACGTAGTCACCTACAACATCGTTATACTACAAAGGGTCTTGAAGGGGCAGCGGCGGTGGTGTTCTCGGGGGCCCTCCCAGATGCTGCAACGTTACTAGGGGCCCTCCCAAGGGAGGCGGCGCCCTCAGGAGCCCTCCTTAAGAGTGGCGGGGATCCCAGGGGCCATTCCATGGGTGGTGGCGCCCCCAGGGGCGACGGCGCACCTAGGGACCCTACCAAAGGTGGCAGGGGCCCTCTATATGGGTGGCAACTTCCCTAGAGGCCCTCTCAAATCGGCGGTAACCCGAAAGACCCTCCCAAGGGCAGTCAGGACCCTAAGGGCCCTACCAGGGGTGGAAGCCCTACCAAAGGCAGCACCACTCCCAGGGGCACCTTCAGGGTCGGTGGAGCCCCCAGGGGCCCTGCCAGGGTTGGCGGTGCTCCCAGGGGCCATGGCGACCCCACGGACCCTATTAGAGGCGTCCCCTCACAGTATCCCTATAGCTTGCTTGGTTGTGGTGCTGTACATGTTGTATATGTCCAGCAATTCCTTACTTAACTGTGATTGGTGGACTAAAGTAAAATCCACCAACTAACAGCCAATAGGAGAACAGAGCAGTCAGTCAGCACAACACCCCAACTTATGTTTTCCTGTTGGATATTTATTCTCCTTTACATTGTTCATGATGGGATGATACTGGAAATACGATGGGCGGTGTATTAATTGAACGTTATATTTCCCATTGTCCTAAATATTGCAATAACAACTGCCCCCACGGGCCCTACAGGTGCAGAGCTCCCTGGGGTTCTCCCATTTGGTATGGCGACCCCACGGACCCCATTAGAGGTGTCCCCTCACAGAATCCCTATAGCTTGCTTGGTTGTGGTGTTGTACATATAGCATACGTCCAGCAATCCCTTACTTAACTGTGATTGGTGGAATAAAATAAAATCCACCAAATAACAGCCAATAGGAGAACAGAGCAGTCAGTCAGCACAACACCCCAACTTATGTTTTCCTGTTGGATATTTATTCTCCTTTACATTGTTCATGATGGGATGACACTGGAAATGCGATGGGTGGTGTATTTATTGAACGTTATATTTCCCATTGTCCTAAATATTGCAATAACAACTGCCCCCACGGACCCTACAGGTGCAGCGCTCCCTGGGGTTCTCCCTAGGCCAGTGTTCCTACTGACTCCCCATTAGAGTGTGTCCCTCTTCTACAGAATCCTCAGTAGCTTGCTTTGGTTGTGGTGTTGTACATATAGCATACGTCCAGCAACCCTTACTTTAACTTCGTGATTGGCGGAATAAAATAAAATCCACCAAATAACAGTTGTCAGAGAATAAGAATAAGTTAAAAGCACACTTGTCTTGCGTTTCGTTGGATAGTTTGTTTTCCTTAAAGAGCTATGATGGGATGATACTGGAACAGATGGCCAGGCCTTCATTAGTCCCAAAATACGTAATAACAACTGCCCCCACGGACCCTACAGGTGCAGCGCTCCCTGGGGTTCTCCCATTTGGTATATTAGGTGCGATGCTCCCAGGGGCAACGGCGCACCCAGTGGCCCTTGCAGGGCAGCAGCGCCGCCAGGAGCCCAACTGAGAATAAATATCCAACAGGAAAACATAAGTTGGGGTGTTGTGCTGACTGACTGCTCTGTTCTCCTATTGGCTGTTATTTGGTGGATTTTATTTTAGTCCACCAATCACAGTTAAGTAAGGGATTGCTGGACGTATGCTATATGTACAACACCACAACCAAGCAAGCTATAGGGATCCTGTGAGGGGATGCCTCTAATGGGGTCCGTGGGGTCGCCATGGCCCCTGGGAGGACCCCTGGGAGCATCGCACCTGATATGGCAAATGGGAGAGCCCCAGGGAGCGCTGCACCTGTAGGGTCCCTGGGGGCAGTTGTTATTGCAATATTTACGACAATGGGAGATATGAAGTAAAATTAATACACCGCCCATCGCATTTCCAGTATCATCCCATCATGAACAATGTAAAGGAGAATAAATATCCAACAGGAAAACATAAGTTGGGGTGTTGTGCTGACTGACTGCTCTGTTCTCCTATTGGCTGTTATTTGGTGGATTTTATTTTAGTCCACCAATCACAGTTAAGTAAGGGATTGCTGGACGTATGCTATATGTACAACACCACAACCAAGCAAGCTATAGGGATTCTGTGAGGGGACGCCTCTAATAGGGTCCGTGGGGTCGCTATGGCCCCTGGGAGGGCCCCTGGGAGCAACGCCAACCCTGGCAGGGCCCCTGGGGGCGCTGCAGCTCTTTGGAGTGCCCAAGGTGCGCCATTGACCCTGGCAGGCACTGGGATCCCCGCCACACCTAAGGCAGAGCCCCTGGGAGCGCTGTTACCCCTGAGAGGGCCCCGGGGAGCGCCACCACCTCTAAGTTTGGCCCCTGGAGCGCCACTGGCTCTGGAAGGGTCA